AATGTATTTTCAAAATTATGATGACCATTGTATTTTCTAGTTATCCTTCTTTTAAAAATTGATTTCCAAAGAGAGAGGAAGGGAGAGGGATAGAGATAAAAACATCAAGAGAGGAACATCATTGATCAACTGCCTCCTGGACATCCTCTACTGGGGATCGGGCCCACAATCAGGGCATGTGACCTGACCAGGAATCGAACCATGACCTCTTGGTTCCTGGTTTGACACTCAACCACTGAGCAACACTGGCTGGGCTCTAGTTATTCTTTTGGAAGTATATGATTTGTACCCTCATTTTCTTAACTTTTTATTGTGAAATATAAGGTACCTATAGATAAGTGCATAAAACATTTATTTTATGTTTAACTTGTAAATATGAAACATCACCTACTTGTCTACTCTGCCATAAACACTACTCAGGTCAAGAAATGAAACATTATCAGCACTTAAGAAGCCTCCTCCCCCATATGGACCTCATCAAAAGTTAAATTCATACTTTTACCAGCCTCCTGAATAATTCAAGGACCTGAGAACAATTTATATTTACCTTCCTCCTGACCAATATGCTATTGTTACTATAGACTTTTTAAAAAACTCCATTAGACATATTTTACTATTTGTTTACATATACCCACTCAGTTATTTACATTTTATTTGTTCTTTCAGCTCAATGACCTATAGAGGATCATCACTTTCTATGGCCTGAAGCACATCCTTTATCGTTATCAATTAATAACTAGAATCTACTAGTGACAAACTCAGTTTTGATTTATCTGAAAACATTTGTACTTCACACTCAGACTTCAAAGATGTTTTCTCTAGATACAGATTTTCTAGGTAAACAGTTATTTTCTTTCAACACATGGAAGATACCATTCCACTCTGACTCCAATTATTACTCTTGAGAAGTCAGCTGTCAGTTGAATCGTGGCTTTAATCAAGGCATTGTCTTTCTCCTCCAAGACCTCCACTGTTGCTTTTAGATGTTCCCTGGGTCTTTCTTCTTCTTCTTTTTTTTTTTCTTTCTCTCAGATTTTCTCTATATTTTTAGGGGTAGATTTCTTATTTGTCCTGGCTTCCTGAATTTGGTGTCTTTCATTAAATCAGGTAATTTTTCAGCCAGTACCTATTTAAATATTGCTCCTGCTTCATTCTCTATATCATCTTCCAGGTCTCAAATTAAGTCTCATATTAGACCTGCTCAATGTGGTCTCCACAATTTTTTTTTAATTAAATCTTTATTGTTCAGATTATTACATTAGTTAGTCTTTTTTCCCACCATAACTCCCCTCCACCCAGTTCCCACCCCACCCACCGGCCTCACTCCCCACCCACTGTCCTAATCCATAGGTGCACGATTATTGTCCAATCTCTTCCCTCACCCCCCACATCCCTTCCCGCCCCCCCCCCCCGAGAATAGTCAGTCCATTCCCATTCTATGTCCCTGATTCTATTACAATCACCAGTTCATACTGTTCATCAGATTATTCACTTGATTTTTAGATTCACTTGTTGATAGATGTGTATTTGTTGTTCATAATTTGTATCTTTACCTTTTTCTTCTTCTTCCTCTTCTTAAAGGATACCTTTCAGCATTTCATATAATACCGGTTTGGTGGTGATGAACTCCTTTAGCTTTTTCTTATCTGTGAAGCTCTTTATCTGGCCTTCACTTCTGAATGGTAGCTTTGCTGGATAAAGTAATCTTGGTTGTAGGTTCTTGGTATTCATCACTTTGAATATTTGTTGCCACTCCCTTCTGGCCTGCAAAGTTTCTGTTGAGAAATCAGCTGACAGTCGTATGGGTATTCCCTTGTAAGTAACTGATTTTCTTTCTCTTGCTGCTTTTAGGATTCTCTCTTTGCCTTTTGCTCTTGGAATTTTAATTATGATGTGTCTTGGTGTGGTCCTCTTTGGATTCCTTTTGTTTGGGGTTCTATGCGCTTCCTGGACTTGTAAGTCTATTTCTTTCACCAGGTAGGGGAAGTTTTCTGTCATTATTTCTTCCAATAGGTTTTCAATATCTTGCTCTCTCTCTTCTTCTGGCACCCCTATAATTCGGATGTTGGTACGCTTGAAGCTGCCCCAGAGGCTCCTTACACTATCTTCGTATTTTCGGATTCTTTTTTCATTTTGCTTCTCCGGTTGGGTGTTTTTTGCTTCTTCGCATTTCAAATCTTTGACTTGATTCTTGCAATCCTCTGGTCTGCTGTTGGGAGTCTGTATAATATTCTTTATTTCAGTCAGTGTATGCTTAATTTCTAGTTGGTTCTTTATTACAACATTGAGGGTTTCACCAGTCTTCTTGAAGATCTCACTACATTTATCGGCGGTCTCACCAGTCTTCTTGAAGATCTCACTACATTTATCGGCGGCTTCTAGACAGTTCTTTAAAGACCTTAAAAGTGTGGTTTTGAACTCTATATCCAGCAGTTTGCTTTCCTCCAATTCTGTCGTTTTTGTCCTGTTTCTTTGTCTCGGCATTTTTTATGCTTCGCTGTGTCGATAGAGTGCCGTTCTGTGCTAAGTGTCCCAATTACCTGAGGTAGACCCTCTTGGTGCACCCCCTTGTGAGCTTTGTGCACAGTCTTGTTGTAATTAAGCCTTGATTGTTGTAGTTATCACTGGGAGGAATTGACCTCCAGGCCAATTGGCTGTGAGAATTAGCTGTGTCTGCAGTGGGAGAACTTCTGTGCTGGAGACACCCCTCTGGGGCTAGACTTGCTTCGATGGGGCTTTGGTGCTCACTGAGTTGGCCCCCTGAGTGTGTCTTTTATGGTTCCATGGAGCTGCAAACTGGGTGGTCCCACTCTGACCTCTGGGCTTCCTGGCTCCTGGATCTCTAGGGAGGTGCTAACCTAGCCTTTGCCTGAGGCTATCCAGCAAAAGTCTCCCTGTAGGGCTTGGGTGGGGCGGGTCCCAGGGGATCAACAGGGCGGGGTTAGCAATTATGGCTGCTCTCAGTCTTGCCCTCAGAAACTCTGCTTCTCAGTGTCCCATTAATCGCTGCAAGCCCCTAGGAGAGAAAGCTGCCCTTGGGTTCTGACCGATGCCAGACAGTCCCGCTTCTCCCGTATGAGTCTGGGTCCCTAGAGACTCACCCAGAACTGGAGCTCAGAGCCTGAGACTCCCTCCCGATTGAAAACGACAACCGCAACCTCAGCCGCCAGCCCGCTCCGCACGCACCTCCGCACCTTAGTATTTCACCTCCACACTGTGCCTCCTCTGAGCCTCGGTATGCTTTTCTCTTTCTTTCTAGTTGTAGAATTTCCACTCAGCCAGCCTTCCTGTGGTTCTGGATGATGTCCGTTCCGTCTTTTAGTTGTATTTTCGAAGTGGTTGTGCGAGGCAGCAATCTCCGGTGTTTACCTATGCTGCCATCTTGGTTTCTCTGGTCTCCACAATTTTTAAATAACTCTGTGCTTTCCATTGTTTTGTTTCTTTTCCTACATTCTGGAATTTGTCTTCTAATCTATCTTCGTTAAACATTCTCTCTTCAATGTGTCATTGCTACAAACTTAGTTTTTAATTTCAATATTTTTTAGACATTTTATTTGGACCTTTTTCAAATGTGCTATGTCACTTTTATAGTTTCTTTCCTGCAGATATTTTCAAGTTTATCGTTTATTTCTTTTTTTTTTAATATATTTTATTGATTTTTCACAGAGAGGAAGAGAGAGGGATAGGTAGTTAGAAACATCGATGAGAGAGAAACATCGATCAGCTGCCTCTTGCACACCTCCTACTGGGGATGTGCCCGCAACCAAGGTACATGCCCTTGGCCGGAATCGAACCTGGGACCTTTCAGTCTGCAGGCCGATGCTCTATCCACTGAGCCAAACCGGTCAGGGCTATTTCTAAAATCAGTACAAACACTGTTTTTTAAATAATCAGTTTGATCATTCTAAAATCTGAAAACTTTATGAACTCTTTTTGCTGTTGTTTACTCTTTATTCTACTCTTATTGCTCTGTCTCCTCAGATGCTTGATTACGTTTGACTGTATGCTAATCATTGACCTTGAAAAATTAATCCTGAGAATTTCCTGTGGCTAAGAAAGAAGGTGCCTTCCTCCGGAGAGAATATGCATTTGCCTGTCATCTATCTTACAGTATTAACCATTCCAGAACCATTTTAAACTAGAGATTCCTTAGATGACTCATTGATGAAAATTCCATGTGAAAGTCCCTACCATGGTCAGACCATCTCAAAAAATATATATGCTTTTTCTTTTATCTTCTGCTCTGCTCAGCACCAAGGCAAATCTACCAAATGGTACCCAAGCAGTGGAAAAGGGGAAACAGTTTACCTTCTGATTACATTTACTGTAAGGATGTAGCCCCTGGAGGAGGGTTGTCCTAGCTCCTCTTCCTACCATATATAAGGCCATGGCTTTCTCTTCCTCTCACCCTACAAACTATTAAAACTTCATTTGATTTTTCTGGATTTAGCTTTGATTTCTCTCTCTCTCTCTCTCTCTCTCTCTCTCTCTCTCTCTCTCTCTTTCCACACAGAGCTAACAAAACCTCAACTAAATTTTGTCAGAATTTGGCCTCAGACAAAATTTGATTGCTGTGCTTTACTTAGTTTTCTGGGTGCTTGTTTTTCTCTTAGTTTGTGGCTTAGAAATATCATTAAAAACATTCACTAATTTCTCATTTTCAAAATAAACAATAAAATACTATTATACAATCCAGCAATTCTACTTTTGGGTATATATCCAAAACATTAAAAGCAGGGACTCATACAAGTGTTTGTATACCCATGTTCATATTCATAGCAGCATTATCAGCAATAGCCAAAAGGTAGAAGCAACCTGAACGTTCATGCAAGGATCAATGAAAAAATGAAACATGGTCTAAACATAAAATAGCCTATTATTCAACCTTAAAAAAGGAAGGGAATGTTGACACATGCTACAATATGCATTAACCTTGACAACATTATACTAAGTGAAATAAGCCAGTCACAAAAGGACAAATACTGTAAGATTTCACTTACATGAGGTACCTAGAGTAGTCAAATTCATAGAGACACAAAGTAGAATGGTGGTTGCCAAGGACTGGAAAGAAGGAAGAATGGGAAGTTATTGTTTAATGGGTGTTTCAGTTTAGGAAGATGAAAAAGTTTCTGGAGATGAATGATGGCGATTGCTGTGCAACAATATGAATGTACTTACTGCCACTAAATTTAAAAGTGGTTACAATGGTAAATGTTATATTATATACATTTTACCAGAAGTTTTAAAATTCTTATTCAAATGATGAATTTTCTTACCTTCACATTTACTTATATACATAAAATGAGTAGTATTTATATGCTTAATAGGGACATCTTCAGAAAGCACTTTGTGTCAAGTCTGAATAACATTAAACATACTGAGCCTTTACTCTTGAAAATCTTTGAATATGAGAGATGTTGACTTCATATATAATTATATGCAAAGAAAACAATAACAACATATTGGAAAAATAGCAAGATATAAGAAATAAAACTATGCCTCAATTTGACATTAGTCACAGGGTCAAAAGGCTCATAAATACATAAATTACACATTGCTTCAATACAGATACCTTTAAATAAAGTTTTCATAAGTTACTATATGACTATAACCTTTCATTAATTTTCAAAACTACTGTAATATCCTCAAATGAGAGTAATGTAAAATAATCCGTTAAATTCGTAGAATATCACTACTAAGCATTTATTTTATAAAAAGTTGAATTAGAGGATACAATTTTAAATTCTTAACTAGTTTTACCAATATCAATTAAGTACTTTTTAAAATATTGTTAAGGGGTTTAAAAAAAACACACCTAAAAACCACATAATATCCTTTTCCAGGGATGCGCTGCTCATGCTACAATAAGAGGGGGAGGACAAAAAGAAGGAGCAATGTCTTATTTGTTAATGTCTATCCATATCTTTACCTAACTCCTCCAACTCCATTTCCCACTCTTAATTTGGCTACAATCACTTTATAGACAACTGCATCTACACCCCTCTTAATCTCTCTCACGCCACTCTTAAGAACATGTATTTCCTTCCGTCATAAGGTCCCTCCATCATAAGTTGGTGATATGTAGTTCTACATTCCCCATCTCTAGCTCTTTCCCTTCCCTTTATTTTAATAAAGTTACATTTCTTCCACCTTTAAAGAAAAATACATGACTTGACCTTGCACATCCAATTTATAACGGAGTAAACTATGATACATTTCAGGACATTTCTTTGGCATCTAACACAACTACCGCATAGTCTCAAAATTTACCACTTTTCATTTAGAGTCATTACTCTCTTATCTGCAATATATTCCAGTTTCTATGTTGGTTTTATGGAATATATTTTATGGCAGATATTGTCATGTAGAATTTTTACAGAAACTTTAATGAGACCAGGAGTATTTCCCAAATCTTTTGCTTCACACAGCAGTTTGCTGGTTATCTGGCAGCAAAGCATTTAAAATCTGCTCACTTTCTCTTTGATAAAAAGTAGCTATATTATATTTTCTAGCAAATGTTAGAGAATAAAACAATCTTTCTTTGAAGGGAAATACAATATTTTGATTAAAAATGTGAAAACAAATGCTTTTTGAAAGAAATTTGTTATATAGAAAGTATTTTGAAAAAAGTGTTGATTGTTGCCAAAAATAAATTAATAAGTTAGTAAAATTAAGAAGATTAATTAAAACACATATTAGCATACTTCAAAGAGGTAGAAAACAAATTTTTATCTACTTTTAAATCTATCAAACAAAGAATTTTAGTAAGTTTGAACCTGTTACAAACTTTCAAAAATAAACCTTCCAAATACTTTACAGGAACAACTATTTGACAGCAGGAAAAATGGCAATTACTGCCTGGTTTCAACAAGAACCTTTGAACTATTAGACAGGATTGAAAAAGTAAGATTTAGTAAACACAGCCAATGTTACATTTCTTTCATTTGGATGTATGTACCTTTACTAGGTATCTTTTTCAACTATGACAGCTATTAAAAATCAATAGGAAGACAACTGCATGTAATTCCATTATCATTATATGATATTTTAAAAAATTACACAGTTCACTACAAGTTCTTTAAAAGTGGTGACTTCGTCTTCATCTTTGTATCCCTAGGACTTTGACTATATGGCATACACCAAATAGTTATACAATAAATACTCTGTGAATGAATGACCAAATATTCAGGCAAGTACACTAAAATGAAAATACATACACACACTCACACACATACCTAAGTATGCATGTAATACCTAGTTAGGTAAACAAAATATTACCTAAAATGGGTAGCCTAAAATCACAATGCACATACATCAATTTGATGGTGTTAATGGCTCAACTCTTAATTATAATTTCTTAATTAAGATATGTTCTCATAAATAAATATATCAGAATTGTCCTATCTATAACATGTGAGAATCTTAACTTACAAAGTGAATCATCAGTGATACAAGGAATAAATATAAAGTAAAAAAATAATAATAAAGCAAAACTAGTAAAAAAGAACTGTTTCTTTAACAAAACAATGGCTAAATGACCCAGCATAAATAAAACTGTAAAAGTATTAAAAATTAAACTTTCAAAATAACAAGTTCAAACTAAAAATCAAATAACAGCATTTTTATTTTAAGACTTGGTTTATATCCAACTATCTCATTAAGAATGAGATGACTACTTAGCATAATTTTCACAATCGTATACATTTTGCTTTCAAGCTATATTTAAAATTTTTAATAATAAATCACATAATTACATACACACTTAGTCCTCTATAGTACATTACAATTTTATTGGAGAAAAATTAGAGGCAGCCACAAAATTATATTCTATTAACATCTTTAATTCTAATTGCATCTCTGAAAGGAAAAACTCAGAGAAAAGCAAGCAAAATAAAAGAGAACAAATCCTGTTCCCAAAAAAGGATTAGGATTCAATATATATATATATTAGATATAACATAATAAATTGCTTATTTAATGATTATAGGATCATATTAATTATATCCAGAAAAAATTTACCTTATAACACCAAGACACAAAATGACTGAAAATGTATTAAATAAAACAGTAATCTGTAGCAAACAGTAAAACTGTTTTTCTTTTTTTACAAATATCATAAAACTTCCTGAAAAGCTGTCTCCATTATTCTCAGGCTCGTAGTTACCCTACTTATATAAGTTTGATGTTGTCCAAAAACGTACCCATGGTTTATTCATTGAACTCTCATAGTGCTTAAGTAAGGAAAAAAAGCAGCTGAAATACTTAAAAATTAAACAAGCAAAGCCAAACTTAGAAGCAAAACGATCTCGTTGTTACTTACCTCCTGGAAATGCCATTAGCCAGACATTTATGGCTACAGGACTTGGAGGGGAGGGGTGATGAAGTTGGGGACATGTTGAGAGGGGCTATCAAACTGTTGATGATCTCAGTCAGCTGTGCACTCTGCAAGAAAACAGTCAACTGCTAAGCAAGAAGTGAGTTAAATCTCAGGTCTTCCGTGTCTATTAAATGTTTAACTTCTCATGAAACAAGTATATGTTTTTGGTAAATATAGAGACAGGCAAAAGTAGATTTACAGTTGTGAGTATATAAAACAGTTTATTCTTGTATTATTATTTATAACTAGAGGCCTGGTGCACAAAATTTGTGTACTGGGGGTGGGGGCTTCAACCCGGCCTGCTCCCTCTCATAGTCTAGGACCCCTTGCTCCTTACCGCTTTGCTCACTGCCCCTTAGCGCTGCTGTGGAGGTGGGAGAGGCTCCTGCCACCACCACTGCGCTCGCTAGCCATGAGCCTGGATGAGCAGCACTTCCCTTTGGGAGCACAATGACCACCAGGGAGCAGCTACTGCGTTGAGTGTCTGCCCCCTTGTGTTCAGTGTGCATCATAGCGACCGGTCATTCTGGTTGTTCTGCCGTAATGGTCGCTTAGGCTTTTATTATATAGATTATTGTATTATTTTCTATAGAATCGACTGTAAACCTACTTTTGCCCATCCCTATTATATGTATTCTAAACTACAAAGATGATTAGACCACTACTGATACTGTATTTCATATAAGTAAATTTACATTTTAAAGTACTACTCCTTTTTCATGTCCTTTTTTCTTTACAGTTTCTTTATCTACTTATCCTGTCTTCTAAAACATTTGAATTCAGGTAACAGAATCTATATAATAGTTTGAGCTGGCCAAATTAATAACAATCATAGCTATGATTTATTAAATGTGTAGTATATGCCAGACACTATACTAGGCACAAGAATATTTCTAATCGTTACAACTAACCTATAAAGTAGATAATATAATTTTACTACATATAACATCAATTACAGATGAGGAAATTGAAACAAATTCCTCATCTGTAATTGATGTTATATGTAGTAAAATAGTTTAAGCTGCCTGACCAAGGATTATAAAGTTGGTAAGAAATGAAGCTGTGATTCAAATTCAGGTTTTAATTTCATGCCACAACTGCTTCTTAATATTTTTTCTAATTAAAAAATATCATTTTGGGGGTATCAAAATTTTTATTGCTCCTCATCCGAAACTTAAATATATGTAATATATTTATAATGTGTAATAAATATTAAATCATTCTCAAAACAATAATCTAAAACAATTAGAATAAACTTAGACCACATCACTGGGAATAGTACATTTCTATAAAAGAATGGCAACTATTTTCATTACATACGTAATGTGTTCATTATAGAAAAAAAGAAAGTACAGGTAGATTTACTAGGAAAAGAAAATCACCTGTAATCATATTTCACAGAGAAAACCATTGCTAATATCTATCTATCTATCTATCTATCTATCTATCTATCTCCGTACATCTACATTAAATTTTTGAACATACATGAGCATTTGTATGGGCCTACCTGTATATATATATATATATATATATATATATATATATACACACACACACACACACACACACACACACATGTGTACACACACACCTTTTTAATTAATCATGCCACATCAATTTTCTAAGACCTGGTTTTCTGACTTAACATCATGTGACTACATTTTAAAAAATACATTGACCTATTTCATCATTTTATTAATTATAAGATATGCTATTATAAAATAAAGGGATATGTGACATTATTTTGAAACTTCATTTGTATGAAACTAATAATGTGCTGTTAGAAATGAGACTAAAGAATATGATAAAACTAAATCTAAAATTTTAATTCAAAAATCTTTTATTAAAAAAACAAATGTTTTCACCATTTAATTTCTTAATAAATAATACATACCTAATGCCTTTATTTTAAAAATTATTATTCTTTTTAGATTAAAGCTCATTTTCAAAATCACCAATACAGAGATTCTTTATCCAGTGATCAAGAATTTACAAATTTATTCATGAAAAATAAATGTATAGAGTATCTATTTTCCAGTCTGAAACACTGATACACTCTTCTCTTTATCCACTTCCAAAAATATAATCTAAAATACTGTAAGCTATTGGAAGTCATTGGTCAGGTATGTCCGTTAATTGGCCCAGAGAACAACATTACAACCAACCCCTAGTTTTTACTCTAACAACCATCCCACTTCAGCCAATAAAATCTCATATGCCTGAGTCCATATTTGGGATAGTAAAAATTTATTAGGAACTTCTCGACTTTCTATTTACAATCATTTTTATTAAAGAATCCATATTCCAATTTTACCTTTCACTAAAAATCTCTATCAATATATTATTCAAATAACCATTCAGATCTATTAGGTGGTACCAGTGTTCTGTCCCTGTGAAAAAAGTCCAATGATAAGCAATTTTGTTTGAAGAAAGATTTTCCAACCGAGTGTAAATGAGTGATCATCATAAGGCTATGTACTAATCAATACCTTATATTGTACCTTATATTTATTTTATACCTTATATCAGGGGTGGGTAATCCCTGGCACGCAGTAACTTTTGCTGGCACGCGAAACCCTCTCTTATAATCTCCCATTTACAATTTTTTTCTTAATATCAACTTTTTTATTTTTCAGATAAATTCAGTGTAGGTGCATCTTAGATAAAGAAATAATTTTACATAACAAGTTATCTAAAAGACCATAGACATGGATTGACGAGAGAGGGAAAGAGCAATTTCTATGCCTCTGCCTTAACTCTCCCTGCCTTCCTAGATCCGACCAGTGTTTTGGTTTCATCCACATACGCTTGTGAATCTTTGTTCTCAGTGATGAATTTTGTCAAGTCTCGTAATAGGAGTAGCCTGATGGATGAAAGTAGTAGCTCGTGCATATCTCTGAAGGTCACGAAATATAAACCTGATGTAAAATCTCTGTCATCAGTGATGCAGCAGCAAAAGTCCCACTGATAATATCAAACGGAGTCTTAAAGTTTTCTGTCGGACTATCAGTGTACATGTATACATTAAAAAATAAATGTATTTTTCATCATCATATACTGTGTTTTTGTCGCTCGAATGAATTTTATTATTTCTTCAAGGTTCTTCACAGACATACACCTTAAAAGATATCAAGTAGGCGTAACATGTTCTCAAAAAATTAGGGTTGGCACGCAGAAGAATTTTGAGTCAGAGATTTTGCTGGTTTTGGCATGCACTCACAAAAAGGTTGCCCACCCCTGCCTTATATTATATTTAAATAACTGTAATTACATCAATATTATAATAAAGGCTAGTCATATACTAAGTATTTTCATTTTACTAGATGTCAGATTGCCAACTTTAATAACCCATATCCCAAGAAGACACATTTATTTTCATGTCACTCACGCTGTACTCTTCTCATTACTTACCTGTTTTTCTATGTTGCGAAGAAGCAATGTAGGGCTACTTGGTGACATTTCAAAATCTTGTTCTGGTAAAGGATCTTGACTCTCTTGGGGAATCTGAGGATTCCCTGTAATATTTAATGCAGTTGCTTGGTCTGCAAATTGTATTTGCTTTTTCAAATTGTCTTTTGGAAGTTGACATTCTTCTAGGATCACTAGCCCCTAGTCAAACATCAATTAAAGAGTTTAAATGCAAACAAAATTGACTATTAAATTAACCTTAATGTTATAATACACTTGAAACCATGCTTCTTATTACCCCTTGGAAATCAGAAAATACACACTTGGTAGTTTAACTCTAAAAAAATTGGCTGATTTAAAACATGTGTAGTTCAAATAACATGTACATCTGATGGAGCAGGCTTTATAAAATATTGTCATAAATTATACACATGCAGTTTTTTTGTCTTCTACTGGTTTTAGTTATTAACATTAAAAGCATGACACATTTAGAATAAAGTTAGAAGCTTACAATCAGGATATGAACATTTCAGACTGAAATTTAGAACATTTCCTGATTTAATCTTGTATTTTTAGTCACTAGCATTTCCATTTGTTTTATATTTGAGTACTCTGAATTTCATAAATTAAAATACCAAACTTATAAACATCCAAACAACAATCTATTATATTAACTCCTTTCAGAGTCCTGTAAGGACAAGCCCCAAGCCTGTGGCTGCCAGTCACCAACCCTGGGCAGGACTGCACCATTGAGAAAAAGTACTCTCCAGGCCAATCAAAGCTCTTGTTGTTTACAGGATAGATATGTTAATAATAAAGACACAAGTCTTCAAATTTGATGGAGTATTTTCTGAAATGTAAGTAATCAAAAATATGTAGGGATCTAGCTTTCTCTGCACTTCCTGCCACATGCACGTACTTTTTCTTCGAATGGCTTGCTAAACTTTCTCCCACATTTCCTGGCTGCTTTACTCCTACTGTTATCACCAAGGTCTCTCAGAGGCAAGGGAAACAGGAAAGAAAGGATGAAAAGAAGTGCACAGATATGATCTTAATGATTTTATAATCATTTCTCACTGCAAAAATTTTTCCCTTTCTACCCCTTTTACCCCTGTAAAGAATAATACATGTTCTTATACAATATATATGTAGATGTAGATTTTTGCAAGATACCAAGAAGCCCCTACAAACTAGCTGAAAAGGTATTAAATGCCTAATGTGGCTAAAATATTATATTCTTGTCATGAAAAACAGACTAAAACATTAATATAAGGTACAGTATTTCAAGATGGAACAAATTAAATGACTGCTGTGGGTCAGCTTGCATCATCTATAAATGCTATTCATAGGATGAAAACTGCCTATCTATAATAATTAAAACATAATATGCTAAATAGACCGGACAGCTAAACGACCTTCTGGACAACCCTCTGGACAAAGCTGGGGCTGTGAGGGCCGAGGCAAGCCACCGCAGCTGCGAGGGCCAAGCCCCTTGCATGAATTTTGTGCATCGGGCCTCTAGTAGTATAAAATATGCAATATATGAGTAATTTTAGTTTATACTATAATTAAGAGAATCTAAAATTTTACAATGACCATGGTCAGTTATGCTATTAAACATACATTTTGTAATTTTGTAGTAATATATTACACCTTGATGTTTGGTAAAAGTAAAAAGTAAATTATTCTTTTTATCTATATTTACAACAATGCTAGTAACCTTACCAAAAAAAGAGGATCCAAATTTTTTTCTCCCAAATCCTCACCTGACGATATTTTTTCTACTGCTTTTTAGAGAGAGTAGAAGGAAGGGAGGGAGGGAGGAAGAAAGGAAGGGAGGAAGGAAGGGAGAGAGAGAGAGACAGAGGGAGGGAGAGAGATATCAAGGTGAAAGAAACACATCAATCGGTTGCCTCCCACATGTGCCCCAACTGAGACCTGGGCCTGAACCTGTGCTCAGGTATGTGCCCTTGACCTGAATCAAAATCGTACCCTTCAGTGTGTGGACCGACACTCTAACCACTTAGACACACCAGCCAGGGCAAGAAGATCCAATTTTTGATCCCATTTCAATGACTATTTTTCTAGTATGCACAAATACGGCTGTCAAGAAATCTGAAGAAGTATATTTAAAAGAAGTTTGTTTTATTTGATATTTTCAAAAATTAAATTAGACTTGATAAATATAGTATCATCAATCACAAAAACTCTTTAAAATATCTGAAATGTCCATTCAAAAGTTGTACAAGTCTCTTACTGGGTTTTTCACAAATACTTCATGTAAAAGAAATACATGTTTCCACCAATTTAACTATAATTCTGTTTGATTACAGTTTATATTATGGGCCAAGTTGCTCTGAATTAGCCTGATTTCATAACTCCTACTTATAATATTGTTTCTATACATAAGTTGATTCTGAATTTCAGAAGCTCAACATACAAACCTAAGGATACTATCTTTTTATATGGTAGGGGACCTACCATAATTAGTTAAATGAAGAATAATACTTTAAAAATTTAACTGGGGATACATTCATAGTCAACATCATAACCTATTTGTTTTCCCTTAAACTACTGCCCTGGTCAAAACTCTCATAGTGTAAGAAGAATGGACATGATTTTTCTCTGCCATGGCCAAGAATAGAGAAGAAAGGGAAGAGGAGTAATTTCTTCGGAGTCACTGCAGATATAGTTTCTGTTTTTAAAATTCAGGAAAAGGACATGTGTGTGTTGGGTCATAATGATGTACACTTTAAATATGTTATCATTTTATTTGTCAAGTATATACCTCAATAAAGCTGAATTTTAGAAAATCGGGAATAGTACAATGATACATAAAACAAGGCAATAACAAAAATATAAAAATTCTTTAAAATAATGAATTGAGATAACTGAGACAAGTGAAAACTCCAGCCTGAGATGAAAGCAAATCAACTGCTCCAGAGGAGACAACTGTATCTGATAATAACACTAGAGAGATCCCCACCCCACTCCCAGGGTCCTCATAGAGAAGACATAGTGTGAAAAAATAAACTGTCTTAGCAGCATCTTTATTATTTATATAAAGTCACCAAGGCTAATTTTAAGCAAAAAACTTAAATGAAAATTTAAACATAAGAAATGTATAATTTAAAATGTGGAACGTCCTATTATAGGATAACAAAACAAAAATCTCAAAGAGAAATCATAGCTAGTTGTTGTCTTACTGAAAAGCTGAAGCAGAGAAAAGAAGAAATATGAAAATTATACTGTGTTATGAAGCTACTACAAGAACAAGGAAGAGATATTGTTAACATCTGCTTTCTCCTCTCTAAAAATTGAGGTTACCTGGAATATGTCAAAGAAAGGGCAAATGATAGCTTCAACACCTACACTTGTAGATCTCCTAGTGGATCTAGTCTGTGTGTTCTGACCAGTCACAAACCAGCACTGATTTAAACAGATTATTTACAAGAGAGCATCTTTCGATCTCTTTCCCTTCCCCTTATCTCTAACTTAACCTAGAAGAAAGGGTTTTTCTTTCCTTTCAAGATACATTAAACAGAAAAGTTCTGTCTCTCTCAAGATAACTACTCTTCTCAATGCTTTTTTCTTATAATAACCCAAGAAGCTGTAAGAACAAAGAAAGTGCTTGTTTTCTATTCATTATAGTAACAGCTCAACTAAATTGCAGATAAGCAATTAAACATATTAATTCCTAAGAAATTTAAGGATAAACTACCAAAATAAAGAAATAGTATATTTTGATAGCATAATATTAATAGCATTTTCCATAAAACAAATATAACGGGATTCTTAAGGGAACAAAGGGCCAGATATACATCTAGCCTAGCCCTAAACCAAGACAAATGTAAGTAAGGCCATATAAATTATTACTGGGAAGTTTAGATTTTTTTCTCCTCAAAACAACTTACTTAAAAAATATAAACATATAATCAAACTTTTAAAAATGTCTAACAACAATTATACAGCACTACTTAGAACAGACAAAATATTAAAATATCTTTTCCCAAGTCAAAGCAATATGAACTAGACTGTCAGTGGTTCTCAACCTGTGGGTCGCGACCCCTTTGGCGGCCGAACGACCCTTTCACAGGGGTCGCCTAAGACCATCCTGCATATCAGATATTTACATTATGATTCATAACAGTAACAACATTACAGTTATGAAGTAGCAACGAAAATAATTTTATGGTTGGGTCACAACATGAGGAACTGTGTTTAAAGGGCCAGAAGGTTGAGAACCACTGGTCTAGATTAAAACATAAAACATACAATTTAGCTGAAACCCAGTTTCTTGGAAATTTGTAAATTGTTTTAAATCTGGCTCATGCTTACTACTCTTTTTGCTATAAAAATGCTTGTGATATATCCTTTTAAGAAACTGATCAAAGAGGAGTGATTATTTGGTGATCTTGAAAGGACTGGAAAATCACTACAACTGAAGGACGGCCCCAGTGAAGACAGGTTTAAAATAAGAAACAGTCACTACAGTAACTGAATAGGAAACTTCCATCAGGAAACTATTCTGGAACATAGTTCCCTCAAATGCAACAGAGAGAACCATTAAGCCTAAGGTGTTATTTCTGTCTTTCCATACACCTTCCTACAGATATCACCATCATATTGATGATTTTGTACCTTTCTCTCCTGTCCTTGACAACTCATACTTTCTGCTCCTTTGAATACCATAATAAAATACTTTGTTATCCCTAAAAAAGATCTTGTTGTTTATTGACTTCAAACCTTTAAGAAATGCCCTTTCCTAATTTCTAGTTCTATTGATTCATCAAGCAAAGTACTATTTATTCTCCAAAGTCATACTGAGGCATCACCTCTTTATTGATGTCTTCTCTGACGCACATGCTAAACCCTAAAATAAGTTTTCTCTCTATGCCACATCTATATGTTATTAAAAACACGTGTCATTGCACATATGTATTACATCATATTGCAACTATCTATCTACATGGTCTATCACTCCTACCAAAATATAAACTCATGACAGACAGAGCCTAAAACTTATTAATCTTTATTTATGTGCAGACCCTAGGTGGGTTGGGCTAACCACATGGTTCCAGAAGTCCTCCCTTCACAGCTTTTTGTTTTCAAACCAATCACCAATATTTCCTCCATTACAACATTATCTCCACATTTTCACCATGTTGAATACAATTTCCCACAAAAAAAGTTATCGAGATATTAGCAATATTTATATTAAATTAGACTTCATGGAATTGCAGGAGAGCTCTTTTTGCTATTGCTTCTATGGGAAAATATACTAGTTCCAAGCAAACACCCTACAATTTTAGAGAAACAATATATCTTTAAGCTAGGGAAATCCCATGTTAAATTTCCCCTGGTTGGAATTAAAACAGCATTTATTTGTGTAATAATTTGCTTAATTTGTATTCCCGTAGACTGTAAATCCTACAAGAGATTTGTAATATTTACAACTGACCAAGAATAGTATCCAAATCCTCAAGAACACACCACCACCACCATCACCAAAAAAGAATAAAAACGATATATTAACTCTTAGACAGAAAAAAAACCCTGGATAATTAATTACACCGAGGCCCAATCTCACAACATTCAGTAACAAATTAAAACAGCAAAAAAATAATACTTCACACCCATTATACTGGAGGTCAAAAAATATAAAATGTAGGCAAGAATGTGGAGAAACAGGAGCTCTTATGCACTGCTGCCAGTGGGAATCCAGTCACATCAATGAGTATAAGAAAATTGAAGACAGCCATGCCCAACACCCAGCACTTCCACTTTTAGACATGTAGCCAAGAGCTCTCCACATGCTCACAAAAACATAAGATAGTCACTGCATTATTATTTTTACTGGCGTAAAAATGGAAACACTGTCTATCAAAATAAAATAGGAGAAGAGATAAACATTTCATTGTATTCATATAATTCTATTCTAGTCATATAATTAAATAACATACTGGAAGTATAAAAATGCATAAATAGTATGCTGAGCAAAAACAAGGAAGTTGCAAAATAGTTTGTAGTTATTTATACAGACTTCAAAAGCATAGAAAATAAATATTATTTGTAGACACAGATACCTATTTGCCAATAGTATAAAAACATACATACTGAAACCTATATAATTTTGTTAACTGATGTCACCCCAATATATTTAATACTATAAAAATTCATAAAAATAATAAATATAAAAAATGTTGGAATCAGAATAGTGGTTACAGTGGTATGGGGAAAGAGAATGGGCTGCAGGACCATACAACTACTTCAATTGCACAGGTAATGCTTTCTTATTCTAGAAACAAAGTGCATACTGGCAAAAATTTAATATTTGATAAATTTGGGGGAAGGTACACAGGTGTTCATCATATTGCTTTCTGCAACACTTTATGTTTTATAAATTTTTAATAAACAAAACAAAAAACTCTAAGGAGATTTCAATAAGATACACACTCAGTATTTCTTACATACAATAAAATACATGACAACAAAATAGAAGTTTACAGAAATGTATATCATTTTCTATTAACTGGAATCCAACAAAGTTCAGAATTGCTTAAGTATGATAAAATGGTCACCATAAATACAAAGGCATTATAAAGATAGCTTCAATTTATAGCAATTAATATATCAAAAGTCTTAACTAAATTTTTGTAAAACCTATAACAATTATTTTGTGTGGAGAGATGAGGACAAACTAAATCAGTAATATTTTTTTAAAAAATAGAAGAACACTGAAAGTACCTTGGAGGCACGAATCTGCCTGTGAATATCCGTTAGTTGCTGGATTTTGTATTCTAGCTCTGAAATCTGGGCTTGAAGCCACGTCCATCGGCTGCCAACTCTTGCTCTGTCTACAAGCCACTTCCATTCAGTACTACAGTTACTGTGAACAACATAGACATTGTTAGTCAAAGCACAAAGGCAATCAAGTTTTCACAGAGGCTGCTTAATAACTTCCTTGACTCCTGTCATACAATCCCAATTTCCTTTCCAAAACATCTAATTACATGAACTGAGAATGGCATATCAACTTCTTATCACAGAAAAAGATTCAATTTTCTTATCTTTCCATTCCACAAACACCTGTTTTTATTCAATGTTACTTAATCAGCAGTAGGGTAATCTCCTTTGCTACTTAATACTTTATTAATGTGGAAGGGCTGAAATAGGAGTGGGCCAGCAAAGAAAAGGAAACAAGAATAACAATAGTAACACCATGTAAAAACTATTGCATGAGGCTTTTCTAGCAGCCAGATGTCACGTTTCAGACAAGTCATTTGAACTGGGCTAGATCTAAATCCAAGTAACAAACCTTAGCTACGCAATTGTACTCTATGCAAGTTTCATTTGCTAAATCAGAAATCACTATTAGATAATTAAATACTTAAAATCAATTTAAAGAAATTGTCAAAAATTATCAATGATGAATGCTCTGTTGCATTTCAAATATGCATACCAAATATATAGATTTTGACATGTTTATTAAAATAAACAGCTTGTTTAAAACCTGACTCACAGGCCAGAGATGACCAAGAATTTAGGTAAAGCCTTTGTTTCATGCATATTTGAACATAAGAACTGAACCTTAGCTCCTCTATCTTTTGGCAAGGGTGCAGCTCTAATCCACATTTTGTAAGATTACCAATTAATTACTGTATTAAAATACTCCAACCACACCAAGTAGAAAACAACTATTTGAATTGGGGGGGGAGGGGGAGAGGGGGAGAGGGGGAGAGCGGGAGAGGGGGGAGAGGGGGGAGAGAGAGAGAGAGAGAGAGAGAGAGAGAGAGAGAGAGATTAGGAACTTCAGATTAAAGGAAAAACCTGACAGAGATTGAAGGTATAACTGAAGGACAAAAATTACTTAATGGAAAAACACAAGCTTTATGAAATACTTGTTTAAAAATGGCATTTAATGTCAAAACCCATAGAATGAATGTACAAGACCAAAAGTGAACCCTAATATAAATTATAGACTTTGGGTGATAAAGATGTGTCAATGTAGGTTCACAGATTGTAACAAATGCACTACTCTGGTGAAGGACGTTGATAATGGGGAGGTTACGTTGATAATGGGGAGATTACGTTTGTGGAGTACAGGGTGGGAACTCTGTATTTTCTGCTCAATTTTGATGTAAGCCTAAAACTGCTCTAAAAAATCAAGTTTATTACTTTTTAAAAAACAGATGAAATCGTAATAGAAAGTCTTTCATATATACTTTAGTCAAAGAAAACATTATAAGAGATCATTTATTGTCAGAGAAACATATTACAATTGTAACTTTACTATACAGAATTTACCCATTATAACAGGATTTTACATTATATCAATGTTCCCAAAAGCTATTTTTTTAAGATTCTAATTGCGCACAAAGTGATTAAGGAGACTTTCATATATATTAGGACTTCTCTTGGAATTATTCTTTATTCAGTTTATAGTCACTATTGTGATTTTATAAATTGACACTCTTAAATCACATTTTTATAATCAGAGACAAAGTAAGAGAATGCCTATTCACAGATATTTAATATCACTAAGTGCCAATCATCAGATCAGTGAGGAAGGCAAGAGCCAGATCATGCAATGGTTGCATAGGTGAGGGTAAAGTGTTGGATTTTATACAAAAACAAAGTTATTAGCAAGATCATAAAAACATTTTTCTCAGAGCACTCTGGCTACCAGGTAGAGAAAGCATTGAAGTGGGACATGAGAGGAAATAAGGAAAGTATTGGGATGCAACTATAATAATCTGGATGTGACAGAGATAGTGATCTCCGAATATTTCCTTGCACTTAAGTTGGAGCCATGAGACTAGTTCTGGCCAATGGGCTATAAGTAGAAGTGACCTAATCATTTCCAGTCCACCTGACAACCTTCGAAGTCACTAGTGCAGATAGTACAGCCACAGGATGGAGGATCACAGGCCAACCTACACTGACTTATGTAAGCCAAGGTGAACCTCTGCTGTGTTAAACTACTGAGATTAGGAGGTTAACTGTCACTCTAAATATAGCCTATTCTGAATAAAAGATAAAAATGGCTTGGACTGGGAAAGGGGTAGGAGATAAAGAAGAGTTGAAGAAGATAGATTCAAGGTTCATTTTAAAGTTGATAGGACTTGTAGAAGTATGGTGTAGTAAGCATGGGGAAATCCACGATGATCTTAGTCTTTCAGTAAGTTTTGTTCCAGTTGGAAAATTTCCCTATAACATGCACTTTTGCTTGGCTATCAAAATGATGATTAGCTAATGGTAAAATATAATAAATATTTTTCGTGGAGTTCATGTTATTGTACTCCTAATAAAGATATTCAGATATTCAAGTTAAGTTTAGAGAATTCATTTTTATGTTCATACACTATATTAACTTATACTAACATAGAAAAATAGCAATATCATATTAAATTTAAATAAACTAATACTGGGGCTTTGTGGTATATAAAATGAATTATCTGTAAAGGATACATTACCCTACATTTTAATAGGAGTAAATAAAATACATTCGCTATAATTAAAAATGGTAAACAAGCTTTTCCACAAAAAAATGCTTCCTTGGTTAAAAAGTGTATTTCTCAAAAATAATTAACATTGCAAACATGTTACAGATAAGCATGTGGCTATCTCACTCATAGGAGTTTAACACCTGTTTTACCCTTAAGTCAAAACAGATTTCATGTAAACAACTTATATAACCAATAATGTAATGGTTTACTTAATTTAGAGCATAACCAATGAGAACATAGCTGATGCAACAACAAACAAATAAGAATATGAGGAATACCCAGTGTCTAGACTTCCCAATTAGCATATAAGACTGCTAACACGGATTCCCTGCATCTCTGTGGCGTCTGTAACAGACCACCACATGCTGACCCTAAGGAAGAGCTCCTCCTTCCAGTGAAGATTAGGGCGAAGACATCAGTGAGTGGAGACCCCCTGGGCAGTGAGACTAATCAGTCCCCAGAACAGCAGCATATGCCTTCAATCGCCATTCTTGCTTGTTTGCAGTCACCACTTAACTTGGTCAAGAAAACAAGCACAAGCTGTTTAAACCAAATTGTTTTGAGTATAATTTCTCTTGATACTAACTTCTTGTCAAACATCATGAACCTACACTCCTGTTTTGACCCTCAAGTGTAGTTCATCAGAATAAGACAGAACTTTCTAATATCACATCCTACATTACTAAGACTTAAAGAGGGGCTGGTATAAATTATGCCTTTAACATAAATTTTTAGCTCACTAACAAGAATAAATTAACTATGATAAAAAGTCAAAAAAAGAAGATCCAGTTGTAGAAAATAACTAGCCCAAGAAAAATAAGAATTATATTGGGAGAAATACATTAAATTATGCCAAACTTCTCCACTGGTGTTTGCTCACCCAGGAAGAGCTTATCCTTGCCTGAAATCTGATTCCTTTAGACCAGGGGTTGGTAAACTTTTCCTGTAGGCAGGCAGAGAGTAAATATTTTAGGCTCTGTGGGCCACATAGAACCTTTAACCACTACTCAACTCTGCCATAATAGCATGAGAGCAGCCATAGATGATACATACATGAATGGATGTGATTGTATTCCAATAAAACTGTTTACAAAAACAGTCAATGGGCTGAATTTGGTCCATGGGCTGTAATTCTCCATCCCTGATGTAATTCTCCAATCCCTGATGTTGTTAAATTACTTGCTTTTCAACTTCTTTCTTTTAAGCTTGCTTTTAAGACCTGTTAGAGGTATAGATAGAGTAGCCACTAACTAGGGCTAATTCACTCTTGAAGAGTGAGTTTTCTGCGGTCTCTACTGAACACTCCAAATCTTTGACAAAGTCTTTCACTCTACTTATTCAGAACTCAAACATCTCCAAATTGTGTATGAGTGCTGGAAATTGTTCAGATTATGGCTTCCTAATAGTTCTTTATCTGTCCCTTTGGAGTTTCATGTACACATGCATAGCTTAGTATTCAAAAAGTTATCTCAAGGGGACCACATGATGATTTCTGGAGCTTTTTAATTGCATATGTAGATCCCTCAATTTCAGTACTCTGATCTACTAATTCCAGCTATTTCAGCCTCCCAAACTCTAATCTTTGTCTCAATTAAGGCCACTGTGTTCTACTTAGCTTTCTATGCCTGCATCAGAGATCATAAAATGCCTTCAAGCAGAACACAAGGGCAATCAGAGTCACTTCATCTGTTTCTCTTTCCTCAGGAATCACTGAACCTCTAACTCTAACCTTTGCTGCCTTACACCCACTGTGTTCATTTTCTGAAAACAGTGACTGTCTCAAATAAAAGATAGGGCAAAAGTAGCTTTACAGTTGTGAGTAAGCAAAAGTGTTTATTCTTATATTATCATTTATTAATTATTATGTTATTTTCCATACAAACAACTATACACCTACTTTTGCCCCACCCTGTGTTTTTTTTATTTAGTCCTCACCCAAGGATATTTTTTTCATTAATTTTTAGAGAGAGTGGAAGGAAGAGGAAAGAGAGAGACCTTGACTGTGAAAGAGACCTTGACTGTGACATGGATTGGTTGCCTCCCACACGTGCCCCAACCTGAACCGGGGTATATACCCTTGACTGGGAATCGAATCCACAACCCTTAGGTCTGCCTACTGATGCTCTAACCACTTGGAAAACTGGCCATGACCCCACCCTGTATTATGTCCAGTTTGCTCATCAAGTACAGCCAAAGAGCAAGTACAGTACCAATAACTCCACTCCATTGTGGCTAGAAGTCAAAGAACTTTTATGTATTAAAAAAAAATGATTGGGTGTGGAAATCAGATGAAGTACTGGTTAATTATTTTCAACAATTCAGGTAGGGAGAGAATTCTAGAGGAAAGCAAAGCCAACAGTTCCCTGAAAACAAAACCAAA